AAGCTCCCTTGTAGCTGGGTGTGGTGGCATGTGCCAGCAGTCCCAGCTACTTGGGAGGCTAAGGTGGGAGGATCCCTTGAGGCCAGCTGGGGCAACATAGTGAGACTCCATGTCTAAAAAAATAAATAAATAAATTCCCTTGTGCTTCTTTGCAATCAGTCATATACCTCTGACCCCCAGTAACCTCAGATCTGTTTTCTGTTTTGCCTATTCTAGAATGTCATATAAATAGAATCACATAGTATTTTGTGTCTGGCCTCTTTCACATATCATAATGTTTTGAGGTTTGTCCATGTTGTTACATGTGTCAAAAGTTTGTTCCTTTTATTGCTCAGTTGTAGTCCATCGTATAGACAAATTATGATTTGTTCAAATAGTCACCAGTTGATGGACATTTGGGTTGTTTCCACTTTGGCTAATGAATAAAGTACTTATGAACATTTAGGTAGAGATCTTTGTGTAAACATAATTTTTTATTTCTCTTGAGTAAATATATGAGTGGAATTGCTGGGTCATATAGTAAGCATGTGTTTAACTATAAGAACTGTCAAACTGCTTTCCAAAGAGTGTATACCATTTTGCATTCCTACCAACAATGTATGAGACTTTCAGTTGCTCTGGATTCCCATTAACATTGCTAGTCTTGGTCAGGCATGATGGCTCATGCCTGTAATACCAGCACTTTGGGAGGCCAAGGTTAGAGGATTGCTTGAGGCCAGGAGTTTGAGACCCCATCTTTACAAAAAAAAAAAAAAAATAGCTGAGCATGGTAGCACAAGCCTGTAGTCCTAGCTACTTGGGCAGCTGATGCAGGAAGATTGCTTGAGCCCAGGAGTTTGAGGTTGCAGTGAGCTGTGATCATGCCATTGCACTCCAGCCTGGGCAGCAGAGTGAGACCCTGTCATTACAAAATTTGTTTAGTTTGCAGTTACCTAATGACTATTAATGTCAGACACCTTTTATGTACTTATTGGCCATTTATATATCCACTTTGGTGAAGTGTCTGTTCAAATCTTTTGCCTATTTTTAAATTGGGTGACTTCTTATTGAGTTGTAAGATATATATATATATCTCAAATACATATTTGATATATATTCACACACACATTCATTTTCTCGATATAAGTCCTTTAACAGATAAATGTTCTACAAATATTTTCACCTAGTCTGTGGCTTGCCTTTTTTTTTCCTTAATAGTTTTTTTTGAAGAGTAAAAAGTTTCCATTTTGCTGAGGTCCAATTTGTCAATTTTTTTTCTTTTATGGTTCATGTTTTTTGTGTCCTAAGAAACCTTTATCAAACTCAAAGTCATGAAGATCTTCCACATTTCCTATATTTTATAGCATTAGCTCTTATTTTCAGTTCTATGACCCATTATTCATGGCGTGAGTTAATGGCTGAGGTTCACTTTTTGGCATACAGCTTCCAATTGTCCTAGCAATATTTGTTGGAAGGACCATAATTTCCCCCATTGAATAACCTTGGCACCTTTGCTGAAAATTTGTTTTCCATAAATGTGTAAGCCTATAAGCACACAAAAGGATGCTCAACATCATTACTTATTAGGGAAGTATAAATGAAAACTATAATGAGATGCCACTTTATATACACTGAGATGGCTATAATAAAAAAGACAGATAATAACAAATGTTGGTGAGGACATGGAGAAATAGGAAACCTCATACTTTGCTGCTGGGAGTGTAAAATGGTGCAGTCACTTTGGAAAACTACCTGGCAGTTCCTTAAAATATTAAAACACATATTTATCATATGACCCACTGATTTCACTAAGTATATACTTTTTCATAGCAGCATTATTCATAATAGCCCAAAAATAGAAAGAGTCCAAACACCCATCAGCTGATGAGAGGATAAACAAAAAGTGGTACAGTATATACATACATATAATGGAATAGTATTCAGCCATAAAAAGGAATGAAGTACTAATACAGCATTGTCGAATCTTGAAAACATAAGCTAAATGAAAGTCAGTCACAAAAGGCCACATGTTACATGACTCCACTTATATGCAGTGTACAGAACTGGCAAATCTACAGAGACAGAAAGTAGATTAATATTAATAGTTTCCTAGGGCAGAAGCAAGGTGGTGGTATAAGGGGAAATGGGGACTAACTGCTAATGGGTATGGAGTTTCCTTCTGAGGGGAGAGAAGTAGTCTAAAGTTAGGTTATGGTGATGGTAGCATAAGCCTCTCAGTTTATTAAAAACCATTAACTTTTACACTTTTAAGTGGATGAATGGTATGGTATGTGATTTATATGTCAATAAGGCAGTTTTAAAAATCCATAAAAAATGTAACTGTTGAATTTAAAATTTTTGTTCCCTAAAGCTAAATTGTTTCCACCAGTACCATAAAACAATTATTATTTCCAATGTTTGGAACGTCAGCTGTCTGTCTCTATTCTGACACTGTTAAAACTTTAAGTTACAAAACACACACATAATCACATTAAGAGAAAAAAAATGTTTAGTAGGTTTCACAGATATGTCAATTACATAAAGAAATAGCAAGTTAAGTAAAAAGAAAGTATAATAGAGAACTTGTAGAACACTAGGAATATATACTGACCTCGTTTTCACTCTGGTTGTTCCCCTGATACCTGGGTATCACTTGACCATTGAGAATATGGGACCTGCTGCTTCCCAAAACCCTTCATGGTACAGGACTTCAATCCTGTGACCTTCCAAATTCTCCTTGCATATCATCCTGTATTTTTATATTAGAAACTTTTTTCCATAGGTTCAATTCCTCCTTCCAAAAGATCTATATAAAAGAAACAAGAGGCTGGGTGTAGTGGCTTATGCCTGTAATCCCAGTACTTTGAAAGGCCGAGGTAGGATTGCTGAGAGGCCAGGAGTTTGAGACCAGTCTGGGCAACATTGTGAGACTCTGTCTCTACCAAAAAAAAAGAAAATTAGCTGGGTGTGGTGGCTACTCTGTGGGAGTATTGCTTGTGCTATGATTGTGTCACTGCCCTCTAGCCTAGGCGACAGAGCGGGACACTATCTCTAACAAAAATAAATAAATAAAATCAAGATATAGTCGAGAAGGAAGGAATTTGCCATCACCTGTGTCTTTACAATTCATAATTTCAGCATATATGCTTGCTTATACTGAGCCCTGACTTTAGCTCTGAATCTGAGTTTTATACTCAGGTGCCTGTGAACATTTGGGCCAGCCCCGGTGCTTGAGTTTAGAGAACTACAAGTTAAAAAAAGGTACTGGGCTGGTGGAGGTGCCACCTGTTACTTCCTGTTTTCCAATCGAGGGACACATCTGCAAAGAAGCCCCACCAAATGGCCAAATGGCAAGATGAAGCTCCCAGGATCCTGTGCCACAGCTGTATTTACTACAGTCCTTCAGATAAATATGATCTCAGTTCCAGTGCCTACTTTATTCAACTTTCCTTCTTTCATGAGTATATAATAACCTATATATAAAAAAAAGGCTCTCCTTGTCTACAGCCATACCATCCTTTATGTGCCCAATCTTGTCTCGTCTTGGAAAAAAGCTCTCTTTATCAGTCCATAGTTATACAACCCCCTGTATCTATCATAATACATTCTACTTTATCTTAACAGATTTTTGTTTTTTTCTTTTCTTCTTTTTTAGAGACAAGGTCTCTTGCTCTGTTGCCCAGGCTGGAATGCAGTAGTGTGATCATAGCTCACTATATCCTCATACTCCTGGCTCAAGTGATCCTCCTGCCTTAGTCTCCTGAGTAGCTAGGACTACAGGCATGTGCCACCATGCCCAGCTCATTTTTTTATTTTTTGTGGACACAGGGCTCTGTTGCCCAGGCTGGTTTCAAACTCCTGGCCTCAAGCAATCCTCCAGCCTTGGCCTCCTAAAATGCTAGGATTACAGTTGAGAGCCATCATGCCCAGCCTATAACTTAATAGTTTTTAATAAAATACTTGAATATACTGCATTTATCTAACCACATATAGGCTTATAACACAATTTGCAATCTTGTCTATCTCAAACATAATATTTAATGAACTCAATAATTAAACCCCTGATAGTGCAACATACAGTTATTTATGAGTAAATTCAGGTTTGAAGAGGAGATGCAGATTTTGTCTGTGTACTCAGAAGGCATGCAATTCTTATACTTTTTTCACTGTATCACATTCATAATAAATCACATATTTGACAGTATACTTCTCAGAAATTCTAAGTATTTAGTAGCTAAATAAACTTTCAAAAATGCACTCAATTCTTAGGTCACTACATATCTGTGACCTAAAATATGTATCAATATTTATAAGTCAATAAGACTTGTTTTTACTTGATCACTGAATGCTCTGGATGCTTTTATTTCTCATTGGCTAGAACTGCAGGAAAATCATGTCCAAGTGAACTTCGGGTCACTCTCCCCAAGCATTTTTTATGGGGGATTGCTGCTTAATATCCTACACTGATTTGACCCTGGAACCCTTTTCTTGGTAATACAGCAAAAGGTAATTGTTGCAGCAAAGCCTCTGGGCTTTACAGAGAACAAGCAAGAACAGATTTCCTCCTCCAACTTGGTAAGGTTCCTCATGACATTCTGGAATCAGAAGTAACTAATGTTATAACTAATGTGGTGACAGCATTTGGGTCAGGATGTGGGCTTCCCTAAGGCAGAAAGTTTGACAAGACAACCAAAGTCCTTTCCAGGCAAGTAATTGTGCCTACAATTTTCCTGGATCCTCGGGTCTTAATTCCTGTGGCATTAAAATGGGGGAAATCACCTACTTCATTGATTTGGAACAAAATGTGACACATATATAAAATGCTGGTACATGGTCAGTATTCAATGAATATTAGTCTTCTTCCTCCAAATTTTAATATGTCATTTACTGTAGAAAGTACTATCCAATTAATTTTTGTTCAAATATCTTAAAATTTATACAATCAAACAGTATGAGTTGACATATGAAAAACAGTTTAAATGAAGAATCAGAACTTCTAACCTCAAAAAGTTTTGCCATAGTTCTTCAAATGTTTTTATTGAATTTAAGATTCATTTAAGGGATAAACAGATATATAACTAGTTTGATCGGCTACTAATATATTTTGGTGTCCCTTTATTCTTGTACCCAAGAGCCAGTTCACTTTTTCTCCATGTTCAATATTTAGCTTTGGTGAAATTTTGCCATGTTCTTCCTCATCTGTTACTGAAGCATTAGTACTTCCACCCTGCTTAGTGTAGGTTCCTCTTCTAGTTTTCTTTCTGTGGATATGTTTCATAGGGCTCTTCTGTTTTTTCTCAACTTCACTGCTTACATCCCACAACCTTATCTTCCCATCATTACCTCCAGTAAGCAGCAAATAGCATTCTGGCAGAAAGCAGACCTGGGATACCCCTAAAGTGTGGCCCTTAAATCCCAGTTCCTGTTCACACTTGACTCCCGTCACCCTAAAGATTCGAACCTTACCATCTTCTGCACCACAACTAAAAATATTGCCACATGATGCCACAGAGACAGAGTGGGCTAGAGCAGGGTTTAAGAGCTGACCCGGTGATCCTGGGCCTTCCATTTCTTCTGTCTCATCCTCCTGTAAATTTGTAATCCAGAGTGGCCGGGCTTTTTGAAGATTCCATAGCATCACCTTTAAATAAGAGGAAGTTACACAGTTACATAGAGTTCCAGCCATTTTGTTCAACTATTGCGCTTATTCAGATTTTAGTAAAATCATCGAAGTAGTATTATGCTACCATAACATTCCAGTGGAATGCTATCCTGGAACCTATAACCAGAATGCATATGGGAAGTAAGGTAAAATTTATAAAAGAAGATCTTGAATAACTTTTGATTAACAAACCACATTAAAGGGTAATTATTAAGCAGCTGCCAGTTTCTAGAGGTCTTTCTACCCCCATCTCTTCAAGTAAAACCGAAGATTATGAAATTTGTTAATTTTAGTCTATGTTGGTTATAGGCAAAAAGGCCTATAATCCTAAATCTGGAATATCATTGGGATAATTTCTATCTACAATGCTTTTCCTTTCCTTTCACATTACCCGACCTACCTACCCATCTTAGGAGTTTAAGCTCAAGTTCTATGCTTTCAAAAAGGCTTTCCTATTTTAGCCCACTTTCTCGTACCTAGTTCCTATTCTGTTAATTGACATATGCTACTAGCTTGTCAGTTTCTTGATGTTTAATTCATCTTTGCTAATACCTTGCATAATACCTGAGGAAGCACAGAAATCCCAAACATGTCCATTGATTAATTCGACATACTGGTATTATATTTGGCCTTTTGCTATTGTTCCCTACCTGTTTAAAACAAAATAAACTTTGTGAATGGATTTTACATTATAATCTAGTGATTCGTTCTTTTCCTGTATCAACCAATTTAAAAAGAAAAATATTTTTAAAAATTTTATTTTAATAGATTTAGGGGTACAAGTTGAATTCCATTACATGTATATATTGTATAGTGATAACGTCTGGGCTTTTGGTGTACCGATCACCCAAATAGTGTACGTTGTACCCCACAGGTAATTTTTCATCCCTTACCCCCACCATTTTCCCCACTTTTGAGTCTTTAATGTCCATTATACCACTCTGTGTATCCTTATGTAGCCACAGTTTAGCTCCCACTTATAAGTGAGATCATGCGGCATTTATTTTTCTGTTCCTAAGTTACTGCACTTAGGGTAATGGCCTCTAGTTCCATCCAAGTTGCTGCAAAAGATGTTATTTCTTTCTTATTGCTGAGTAGTACTCCATGGTATAAATACACTACATTTTCTTAATCCACTCATCAGTGGATGGGAACTTGGGTTGATTCCTTATCTTTGCGATTGTTAATTGTGCTGCGATAAACATACAAGTGCAGGTATCTTTTTGATATAATGCTTTCTTTTCCTCTGTGTAGACACCCAGTAGTGGGATTGCAGGAGAAAAAATATTCTTAATACTTTCAAAGAGAACAGACAGCTTTATTTTGTCATCTACTATCATCCCTGAATTATATCTCACAATTTTAATGGACACTAGGATAAGCATGACCTTGTTTAGACAGTGAAAAACATAGATCTGAATTGACATGATTACCAACACTGACGCTATTAAGAATTTGGTTTTCTATTCAAGGTAACTTCTCTTATTTACTTTTTCCCAGCCTATTTCAGAGGCAACAAGGTAAATTCCCTCATGATCACTCTCATTAGCCTATTTTCAAAAGCAGTGACACCTAATAACACTTATATTCTATTAGGGAAAGTATTGAAAATTCTTTTGCATTGGATTTATATTATACTATGTAGCTAATAATCACTACTTGGGTGAAGTCAAAGTACAAACTAAAATAAGCTAAAGTAAAATAAATAAAAACTAGAAAATATAACACAAATGAGTGTTGAAACTCATGAAAATAGTTTCTATTAAAAATATGAACACAGGCCGGGCGCGGTGGCTCATGCCTGTAATCCTAGCACTCTGGGAGGCCGAGGCGGGTGGATCGCTCAAGGTCAGGAGTTCGAGACCAGCCTGAGCAATAGCGAGACCCCGTCTCTACTAAAAAATAGAAAGAAATGATCTGGACAACTAATATATACAAAAAAAAAAAAAATTAGCCGGGCATGGTGGCACATGCCTGTAGTCCCAGCTACTTGGGAGGCTGAGGCAGTAGGATCGCTTGAGCCCGGGAGTTTGAGGTTGCTGTGAGCTAGGATGACACCACGGCACTCTAGCCCAGGCAACACAGTGAGACTCTGTCTCAAAAAAAAAAAAAAAAAAAAATGAACACAAGGAAAATGAACATTCCAGAGTCTGCTAACTTCACTGTATCGGCAGGTACTCAGTTCTTTCTTATATAGTCTTCTATAATGCCTGGATTATATTTTCTGTCCTCCTAATATATTCAAATATAAACCGCACCCAAAGTGTTTTCAGCAGCTGAATCGTTTTTACATTTGACTTAAATCATCTAAATGTGTTAATAGCTATCCCAGATTTTACCAATTCCAGAATCATTTCCAAGTACTAAGGATTCCAGATGTTCCTGTCTGGAATGTCTTAGCTATTTGGGAGGCTGAGGTGGGAGGATTGCTTGAGCCCAGGAGTCTGAAGGTACAGTGAGCTATGATGATGCCACTGCACTCTAGCCCAGGCAACAAAGTTAGACCCTGTCTCCAAAAAAGAAAAGAAAAGAAAAAAAAAAGATACAAATTCTGGATGCCCATCCCGTATCTAATCTGAAGAGTACAGGTCACTTTTGTGTATCTAATTGTGTACTGCCATGCCCACTGGTTAATTAATGAGCCAGTGATGGAAAACTGGTATGGTTGAAGGATGACAGAATGACTAGTCAAAGACACACTGTACCATCTGTCTACTAAAACTGGTATCCACCTGGTTGTACAGGTGTTTACAACCACAAAGGTGGATTATCACGACTAGGGAGCAGAATATAGGAGGTTTATAAAGGGCTTGGTCAAGACCCAGGAGTGGAAAAGGAGTTTAGAGATTGTAGGGTCACTATGCCCTATAAATGTAGAGTAATTCTCAACAGAGGAACTATGGACATTTTTGGTGGGCCAATTCTATATTGTTTGGGGACTGTCCCACCACTGCAGGACATCCACTGATTCTGCCTACTAAATGCCGGTAGCTTGAGAAGGGGACAGTCATTGTGACAACAAAAACCAGCTTCATCAATTCCTAAATTATAATAGGTGTGCGGGGCGGAGGAGATAGTGGTAAAGGCCACCGGCCAAGGTGAAAAGTTGAAACCTTTGACGCTATTAACAAGAACTAGAGTTTTAGAAGAAAGACACTATATATCATTGAGAATACAGACTAAATGCCTAAACAGTGCTGGACACATAGGCCATTAATAAACAATGGCTCTCCTTCTAAAAGTCAGCTGTTGCCAAACCAAGAAACTTCTACTACATTATTAATGATATTCTGCTTGAATATCTCTATTGTCACAGAGGAAAAACAGCCTTTGGTGCTGGAGAGATTGATGTTTGAATCCAAGTCAGGTAGCTATGGGGACACTTAATCTGAATCTCAGTTTCCTATTTATAAAAAAGGAATATTTAGGAAGGTGTAATTAGAATTAAAACTAATATATGTAAAGCACTGGCAAGTACTAAGCACTCAACAGACAGAAGTCATGATTATTCTCACCCTGGTGATGAGATTTATTCCCCCAAAAGGAAGCACATCTCACTGTGGGAAAGGTCAAGTTATTTGAAAACTATAATTAAACCAAAATCTGATTCCCTGTGACTACTGCTATTTAAACCAGTATATTCTATTTTTTCCCCTCAAGAAAACTAAGAATTAAAAACCTCCAGTTCCCTGAATAATGAGGTTTCTAGATATATCTTCCCTCCTGATAGTCTTCCTCTGGATTTGGGCTAATTTGTGATGTTCCTTTCAAAACTCAGCATTGAATACAATGCTCTGATCCTGGTCACCAATATACAATATTTCAATTAATGTACCCCAGAACTTTAAAGTAAAAATAGACCTAGTCCCTCCACCTTTTTTTTGTTTCAAATACATTTTGTAGAGAGGTGGATCGACTCTGCCTTTAGCACTCCCCTTTGTTTAAATAGATGTTTAGAATCAAATATTTGAATTCTCAGGTTTTAGGAATGTATTAAAGTGCAGAGAAAGGAAGACTAAAGCATTAATAATTATTCTGTGAATAAAATCTACTAGGTTTTGTCAGGCTAGGATTAAATGTAGAAGTAAGGCTTACAGTTCATAAATTGTTAAGACATGTTAGTAGAGAATAGAAAATGCAAAGATATATTTAGTGTGATGAATAATTTGATTTTGTAGCAAATTCCATTTAGAAATTACCCAAGTACCCTCTTGCAAGGCATCACCTGCATATCCAATCCACATGACACCAGGCTCTGAGGTCTGTGAGGTCGAAAACCTACAGAGGAACAGATATTGGAATGTCTCTTCAGGGATCTGCTAACTTTCTTATTTTCCAAGTCTAGGATCTTGATTGTCCCAGAGTCATCAGCAGAAGCCAGCAGGTTCTCAGTTTCATTCAATGAAAGACAATTGATTTCTTCTTCATTCACATGAAAATGGTCCAGGGAACCTTTGAGGGATCTGACATCCAGTATGCTAATAGTTTCTCCATGTGCAGCATAGAGCTTGGTGGGGCAGGAGAGAGAAAATAAGACACTGGTAACATCATCAGCCCCTTGGAACTGCACGTGTCCTAATGGAGTCCCATCTTCACCCCAAGCTGTGAGATCTCCACCCTCTGCTCCAGAAGCCACTAGCCCTTCTTTACTTCCACTCAGGCAAAGAACAGAAGAAGAATGTCCACCAGTCCACTTGACTGCCATAATGGCCTAGAAGACTCTATGAAGGAAGGGAAAAAACAATAATCTCATGTTTTATACAAAAACTTGACAGTGGAAGACAAATATAATATGCAGTATTTCACTTAAATATTTTTAAAAGATATCTTTAAAAACTCAATCAATCAAAAAAAAAAAAAGTCATTTGAAGATCAAGTGTAGAAAAGCCTAGTTGAACACAAGGTTGTGGTATACAGGTGGCACATGTATAAAAAGGCTTCCCTTGCCATCAGGGACCCAGGTAAGTCTGGTCCTCCAGTCTTTGACATGAGATCTGCATAAGAATAAACACTAAATATACTTATTTTAAATTAGGAAAAATTCTTCTAAAGAGATGGTGGGATAATCATCAGGTTATACCTCCTATCTGCATGTCTTTGAAAGTGAGCTCTGTAGCCAGACCCTCCAGGGTGGTATCAGCTGGGTGACTTTGGGCAAATTACTGAACTTCTCCATGACTCACTTTCTTCTCTATAAAATGGGGAGAATAATAACAACACCCGTTTTATAGGATCACTGGAGGATTAAATGATAATATATGTAAAGCACACATAATAGTGCCTGGTACATAATGAATCCTCAATAAATGTTCCTATTATTACTTTTTCTATTTTTATCAGGCTGGTCAAAGTGGCACCACTTATACTGCACCAGGGTCTCAAAGTGTGGTTCCCAGAGTAGCAGCATCAGCATCACCTAAGAACCTGTTAGAATTATTATAAAAATTGTCAGATCCCACCCTAGACCTACTGAATTGGGAATTCTTGGGTTTGGGTCCAGCAATGTGTTTTAACAAGTCCACCAGGTGATTCCAATATATGCTAGAATTTAGAATCTATATTACACAAATAATCATCTGGGGAACTGGTTAAAAATGCAGACCTTTGGGTCTTACCACAAGAGACACTTAATCAGGCTGGGCGCGGTGGCTCACGCCTGTAATCCTAGCACTCTGCGAGGCTGAGGCAGGCGGATCCTTTGAGCGCAGGAGTTCGAGACCAGCCTGAGCAAGACTGAGACCCCATCTCTACTAAAAAATAGAAAGAAATTAGCTGGACAACTGAAAATATATAGAAAAAATTAGCCGGGCACGGTGGCACATGCCTGTAGTTCCAGCTACTCGGGAGACTAAGGCAGTAGGATCACTGAAGCCCAGGAATTTGAGGTTGCTGTGAGCTAGGCTGATGCCACGGCACTCTAGCCAGGGCAACAGAGTGAGACTCTGTCTCAAAAAAAAAACCAAAACAAAACAAAAAAAAACCAAGAGACTTAATCAGTAGATTACCTAATTTTATTCTCAAAACAACCATTCTGATTGGTATTATTCCACTTTACAGATAATAAAACCAAGTCTCAGAAATTTTAAATAACTTGCCCAAGGTCACTTGGCTCATAGGATTTGTACATGGGATCCCAATAAAGGGATCCTGAATCTTTAAATAATGACTAACAACTCTACTGGACAACATTTTTACTTGTTTCCTTTGAAAGTACAGGAAATGACTAAAAGCTGGTAAGTCATTACTGCTTTTAAATGTACTTACATATGTTCAATCATATTATCTAGCTGCACTTATACAACAGTAGTACTTAAGCACAAAATTTAGATTTCTGATCCCTAGGAATCCCAGATACATATACTAGAATTGCCACAAAATACTACCCTGCCTTACCTGCCTACTGGTCAATGCGAAAAAGGAAATCAGCGCAATTATACAACAAAAGGATGCAAACAAATCTATCTGGACAAATTTAATTTTTTCATTTTATAAGCCAAGGGAAAATTTACTGAGTGTAAAACTGCCAGAGTTGCTTTACTATTACCAGATAAGATACCTGAATTTATTTCAGTGGTACAGAGATAATTTTTTAAATATTGTTTGGAAAAATCATTTAAAATAATCTGGCTATCTGCCTAAAGTTTCCATTCCCAATACAAAGCTTATTTCCTCTCACTTCCAGACACACACAAACACACACACACACAATAACTAATAAGACTGCAAAAAACCAGTGATCTCTTAGTAATCAAAGTAACAGAAACACAGTCACAAAATCAGATATAGCAATTTTCATTAAGATGACAAAATGAGAATAAAACAAACTTTTTTTATTTCAGTAGAAGCACTCAATTAGTATACAGAGGAAACTAATTAACTAGATACTGAAACAAATAAGATTTAAAGGAGAGGCTTGGAGAGGAAATGACTCAGAGGGAGGTAGACAGGGAGCTCTGGTGGTTTGATTTTTGCTGACAAGTACTGAAATAGCAGCAGTTAAATAATTTTCTGACATTATCAAAGACTCTTGCCAAAAGTTCCAGATAAACCAAGATTTTAAACAAAAGGTATTAATATTATTTAGGCTTAGAACTGTTATACATACTTATTATATGATAAAGATGCTATCTTAACTTAAAATATGAAATTTGAATTAGGTATTGAAAAGGCAATTTAAGTTACAAATAATTTTGTTTAATTGTTATGAATGTTGGTGTTGATCACTCTTTCCGGAGTTAGAATTTTGATTTTGCTATGATGAATCAATTTTATTTAGTTAGTTATTTTTTTAACTATTTATTTAGCATTCCCTCTTTTATCCTGTATCTTAGCTCTTCTGAGATCAAATTCTTTTTCCTCTTTTTTTTTTGTTTTTTGAGACAAGGTCTTGCTCTGTTGCCCAGCTATGATGATGCTAGTGCAACCTCCAACTCCAACTCCTGGGCTCAAGCTATCCTCCTGCCTCAGCACCCCAAGTAGCTGAGACTACAGAAGTGCATCACCACCTCAGGCTGAGCTTTCTATTTTTTTTTTTGTAGCAACAGGGTATCCCTGTGTTGGTCAGGCTGGTCAGGGTAATTTTTCTTTTTGTTGAGACAAATCTTCCTATTTTGCCTAGGGTGATCTTGAACTACTGGCCTCAAGCGATCCTCTTACCTCAGCCTCCCCAAAGTATTGGGATTACAGACATGAGCCATCATGCCCAGCCACCTATCTAGTCAGAAAAATAAAAATAAAGTCCTATTCCTGAGGATGTTAAGGAGAGTTGGGAAAGCCCTAGAAATCCATACACTCTGAGGTATTAATTCTAGCCTATCAACATTTATCATGCAGAGTATTGATCAACTACACTCGACTAGAGCCTCCAAAATCATTTGTTTACTTAGTCTGTAAAATTATCTGTTATTATTTGAAAAACAAAGACCACCATGAAAAAGTTAAACAATCAGACTAGTGTGGTAGAAGGGCAGTGGGAAAAAATGTAAATGAAATTTGGGTTAAACAAAAACAATTCTTCAGAAATGAGTTGGCAAGCCACTGTTTCTTCTTTTTCTATTACTGGGACTGGAAAGCCTAGCAAAAATAGGTAAGTGCCCCTATCCCCACATTCATGTCAAGTCAACAAGCTTCTCTCTTCCGATGTAGTTGCCTAAAGGGTCAAGCACAGCCATTAATCATATCCTACTGTGAATTACTTTAATTAGATAATAGATTCCTTCCTTCTAACACCCAATGAGATCACAAAGTGGGTGAGGGAGAAAGGTTGGGTAATTTTTTTTTTTTTCATGCAACACTGTTTTGAAGACAAGGGTAGGGTATTTTGAGAGCATCTTTAGAAAGGGTGGAGCGCCACAGTTTGCAGTTCTGAACAGTCATAGGACAGAATAAGAGTACTGAAAACGGGGAAGTGGCTTGGTGAGGAAGGTGAAAGATTTGTAAAAAGAAAAGGAGGGATTGACAAAGGTAATCTTTTCCTACTTTGAAATTCTACCTGGGCCAGTTGGGGGATAGTCTGCCACAGAAAGTCACCTCAATGACAGGACTAGATGAGCACCAGAATTATCTCATCGGATCCTTCAAAGGCTTTGCCTCACCCTTACTGTGACAGACAGGACAAAGGCCAAAGTCTTTAATAACTGAATGATCTCTACTCTCAACACTTTGCTCCAGTCATACCTCCACTGTCCTTTCCTTGCTCTGTGCCTTTCAAGCTGTTCATTCTGCCTGGTTGTTTACTCCCTTCTCAGATGGACCAACTCTACTTATCCTTGAAGATTTAAACGAAATAAAACTGTCTTTTCAGACAAAACTTGGTCCAATATTCAAGAAATATAATCTTAGAGATAGTCACCATCACCATAATCAGTATAGATCAACTCTTCTTCACAGGTTTGGGTTTTCTAAAGTTGGTCTTACAGAACCTGGCTAGCAACCAAAACGATTGAAGGGATGTGTCATTGGCATTGGTAAGAATGAAAAGAATTAGGGTTACTGAACTCAGCGCAAAAGACATCTGGGAAGAAGGGACAGACAAGTAATAATCAAACACCGTATCAGAGAGTAGGGAAGGTAGCTGCTGTTCTTTTGTTTTTACAAGCAATGGTTCACAGTGAGAAGCCTGAGGAAAGAATTCTTACTACATAAAGGTTGCAAGACACTAGTGTTGACTAAGGGTGTCTGTGAACCCTATTATTGTAATAATTACTTACCTCTTAGAAGTGTTTTGAGAATTACGCATATAAAAACCCGTGTAAGAGGGCGGGGGGAGTAAAAAAAAAAAAACGTGTAATAGATTTAGTATAGTGCCTGACTCCCGCTGTGATTCATATGATGGTTATTATTCTTTTACTAAGCGTTCTTTAAAGGCTCTCAGAAAACCTTTTGGGCCAATTAGGAAAACGTAGTATGATCAATTAATGCTAAAATTCTTTCCCTTCCAAGAAACTGTAAGTCTAACCCCCACTTCAATTTCTCTATTGGAATGTTTAATTGAATTAAAACACATTGCCTTAATCTGCCTACTAAATGGTAGACCTGAAAAAGACCACATAATGTCCGAAAGAATGTAGCACGTAATTAGCACTCAAATGGCACGTTAAGGTTATCAAAACGTTTATGTGTGTGTGTGTGTGTGTGTGGGAGGGGGGTTGTTAAATGTAGTCACCCCACTTTCCGAATGTACACAGGGATAAACGTTCTGATAAGCACAGTCAGGAAGAACGA